TCAAGCATATGGCTATAATATACTAGGCTTTGTAAGGCACTGTACAATGTTTCTGGCAGATACGCCTTCTGAATTAAATTTTTAGTTAATATTAAAATGATTTTATGCTCCTACATGTGGGCTGGCAAATGAAGGGTAAAAGAAACAGGTCTAAAATTTAAAATTCATTGCATATAATCTACAAGATGCATGCTCCACAGGCAAATGAATAAAGACCCTCTATGCTGAAAATACAAACCGCTTCCTAAAAACACAGACCTGAAACAGGGCTATGAAAGCATGGAAAAATGGAACGCTAACCTCAGCTGTGTCTGATGCAATGCAGATGTAAAACAAAACTCCTGGATTCAAAAGAGTCAACTTTAGTAAGTACTACCAAAACCCAGCTTTTCATAATCAGAGGACACTCTTTTAAAAGCAGCTCCAACTGAAATCATAGTCAGCAAAGTACTTCAGAAGAAATATGAAACATCTCTTAGGGTTAAAGAGAAGCGTCTGTCAAATAAACTCGATGTAACGTATTCCTCCATCTCTTAACACTTATAAAGGGACTTGCAAAGAAAAATGTGTAAATAGGATTTATCTTAAATTAAGCACATTGAACCTTTCCCAACACTGTAAGAATTCAGATAGTTTAAAGAGGATCTGGATGTACTCTATAATTTGTAGATTCTTTTCAGGTCCTCTGAAACACAGTAACTTTCTTACTAGTTGAGATTTGTACTCCCTTGCCAAACCTTGTAGGGGAGCAATTTCTGAAATTTACACTTAATACAACATTCTAAGTTTTAGGTACCTTGAAGAGAATATGTCTTACAAACTTTCCACACCAATTGAATTACTTTCCCTCCCATGTCTCTCAGACAATGGGGCCCTCATTCTTCTACCCTGAATGCCGAGGGAAAACCATCACCACCAGCCCTTGCTGCCAGCCCCTCTCCAAATCCCCCCATTCTGATTTCAAAGCTCTACAGAATCCATCTGGCTGAGAAGTGCCCACAGAGGCTGGGAGGGAGAGAGGCCAAGTGGGCCTGGCCAGAATTGGTAGCTGGCGGGGGAGAGGAAGGCTGGGCACATCACACACACACACACACACACACACACACACTCCTGATGTTAGAGGATGTCAGAGTTGTAGACTTTGTGGTGGGATGCCAGTTTTTGTTGAGTCTAGCCCTGGGGGAAAGGGCATAACTGTAACCAGACAAGAATTTAGGGCCTTGGCTTACAGTCCTGAGCTTTCAGGTTGGGCTCCAGGCCCAGGAAGGTGCTTCTGGAAACTTCTCCAAATAAGTTATCTTGGATCGCCCATATCTACCTCCAGCCTATTTCCCAACCATATTAGTCAGTCTCACCTATTAGGCACAAGTATCCATTTTCCCCCCACTTTTCATTTAATAAACATTTATTGAGTGCTTTCTATGTGCAAGGTACAGATACGATAATGTGTAAGACATCGCCCCTGCCTGTAGGAGCTTGTGGGAGAGAAACAGATAGATGTGTCCACAGATCAACACAACTGAGTGCTAGAGGTTATGGTAAAGGGCATATAGGTTGCATGAGGGCAAAAAGGAGAGAATTAACTTCTCTGCCCCATGTACTCCTCTGCTACCGTTACCTGCTCGGGCCCCGAACCCCCTGAACTCACTCGTCTTCCCTTCACAAACCCCTGCCACTGTGTCCCTTGGAATATGCAACCAAACTTCCCGGTACTTTTTACTTTGCTACAAGATCTTTGCACGTCTCAGCCCTGGCTAAAACCTAGCTTTCTCAAAAATGATGCCACTTTCCTCAAACGCTTGTCCAGTGGTATCTGCTCCTTCTCCCACTTTCGCTGACTCACGGGCCAAGAAAATGTCGACGCGACCTCTTGCTGCGGACAGTCACTGCTGATTCTTAACATTATCACTCAACCACCTCTTCTCGAAGTGCAGCACCTGCTCTGCTCCACCCTTTCTCTTCTTTTGGAGGGAAGAGGGTTCAACCAAAGTCATGGGGATTTTTCAACTCGGCACGCTTTTGCATCTCCTAATAACCAGCTCAGCTCTCGTCTGGCTGTACTCATTCGCGTGCTTCTCAACCATGTTTCATCACCGGCCTGCAGTCTAGATGGGAGTTTTTTCTACATTCAACAACACACTTTCCACAAGTATTTCTGCCAGAGAGGCCTAAGAGTAAAGTCAAGAAAGACAACAAAAAGTAAAGTAAAATGGGGTACTTGTTCTCATACAAGGCACACAACAAGGCTTATTGTTTAAAATGTGGGTATAGTAGGACCTACATCATACAGTAATTGAGGATTAACTGAAATGACATACGTAAAGAACTAAGAACAGGGCCTGACACATAACAGGTGTTAACTATTATTATTGTATCCTCCAAACTATATAACATACACAAAGCTTAAGCAATGATATCAAACCATTCTAGAATCAAATCTAATCTAATTCTTCACATTACTTTAGCATACTCAACACCGTCTTGTATTAACTGATGCTATAACGATGTGTGAGCTGCTCAAAACGAGGTGATCTTTCTCCTTGCTTGCCTTCACATTGGTCACCAAAGGCCCATTTTTAAGACTTCATGATTTTTTTGAACTATTTTAAAACCACTTTCTAACCTCTCTTTGGAACTGCTTTCAACCCCTCAGCACTTTCTTCCCCTTTGGATTCTAAGACAGCAGTTTGCTTTTCCTTCTGCCTCTCTGACCATTTCTGTTTTGTCTCCGTGGCAGGCTCCCCTCCCTCTGGCTGCCCCTTGCAGTCTATGTTTCTCAGGGTCATCCCTCCTTTTCGCTGCTTCTCAAAGTCTTTCCAAGATGCTGTGCCACCTTCATTTATACCTTTATCGTCTCTGCCTTGAACTACTGCAATGCTCTAGGTGGTATTCTGGTGTCTGGTTTCTCCTGATTGCATATATCCCTCATGCTGCCACCACAATAATTTTTTTTTTTAATGTCAAGTGTTTATGACAAGGCCTCCATCACCCCCTGTTCCCTGTAAGAAAAAGCCCCAAACCTCAGCACACCATCCAAGGGCCCTTCACGTCAGCTCTGACCAATCCCTCCAGTCTCATATCATCTTGGTCCACCTACTCACCCAGAACTCCAGCCACATGGAAACAGTCTTCAAACATGCCCTCCTTCAAATCCTCACCTTTCCACGTTTCCTCTTCTTCAAGTGCCGTCTTTCCCTGTTCCCAACCTGATTCAGCTCCTTTCTCTATTAAGCATTGACCACAGCGCATTTTAAATACCTGTTTATGCGTCTATTGCCCCAGGAAAACAAAAGCATCTCAAGTACAGGGAAATGGCTTTTTCTTCTCTTTAGCTCCAGAATCTAGTATCAAGCCAATGCTCAACAAATATTTAATGACTGGGCTTCCCTGGTGGCACAGTGGTTGAGAGTCCGCCTGCCGATGCAGGGGACACGGGTTCGTGCCCCGGTCCGGGAAGATCCCACATGCCGCGGAGCGGCTGGGCCCGTGAGCCATGGCCGCTGAGCCTGCACGTCCAGAGCCTGTGCTCCGCAACGGGAGAGGCCACAACAGTGAGAGGCCCGCGTACCAAAAAAAAAAAAAAAAAAAAAATTAATGACTGAACTGTGAGCAATCAACAAACATTAAAAAAAACTTTTTTAAAAAGATGCAGTTTTAGAATGGATATATGTGTCTGTATAACTGAACCACTTTGTTGTACACCTGATACTAACACAACACTGTAAATCAACTACACCTCAACATAAAATAAAAATTAAATTAAAGAAATAAATAGAGATGCAGTTTTAAAATTTCTCCTTAGGTGGAACTGAGTGAAAGGAAAAGGATGCAAATGAAACACTCGATCTCAAATCTCAAGGTAAACATGGATATTCTGAAGAGCGAGAAGGAAACACATAAGGACAGCAGCAGTGCACAATACTCAAAACGTGGATTATCGCAGAAGTTCAAGGTTGTGGAATCCATGACAGTATCTACTGTCATGCGCTGCATAACACATACAACCTTATGACCTCCCTCCTTAAAATCCCTCAATGTCTTTTTAAAGATAAAGCCTCATACTTAATCTGGCACACAAGGGCCTCCACGATAAATCCGCCTCCATCTCCTAAGCCTCATCTCACACTCCTCTCTACCTTACTCACTGAAATTTAGCCACACAGGCCTTCTTTCCCACTTGAGCTTTTGCACAAGCAAATCTACCAGCAATGTCTTTCATATTCTCTCCTAATTCACTCTTACACCTTGACTGCCAGCCCAAGGATTCCTTAAATTAGCTCCATTACATGGTGACAACGCGTGAGTCCGTTTTACCACATCACATTTGGAAGGCAACAGAGTATAGTGTATGACTGTAACTATAATAGATTATGTGTCCTTGGTCATATCTATTTAAACTCTTTTATGTCTTGCTTTCAGCGCCTGTAAAACTGAGGTAAGTGTAGAACTCACTTCATAAGATTATTCAAAGAGTTAAAGGAGATAGTTCACGTACAGCACTTGGAATTGTGTTACTACATAGTAAAAGCCCTCAAAGGTCACTGATATCATACTTACTTAGTTGTCACCCTGCCCACCCCAAGAGTTCCTCTACTGCTGGAGCCCAGGAACCACACGAGCCTGTTCATTTCTGTATTCTTAGTCTCAGCCCGGGGTCCTGAACATAGCTGGCCTTCGATAAGTAATTAAAAAAAATAAAAGCAAACCGGCAAAAGCTTTGGCTTCCACGTTTGCCTCACTAGCTGGATGACTGCACGCGAATCACTCATTCCACCTGGGCCTCGTTTGCCCTTATGAAAAACGTAATCTCGACCTCAAAGAGATTTTGGATGAACAGGGCGATGCATCCAGCAAAGTACACTGCCCATCTCCCAACGCCGCACAAGCGGTCGGGGCTGATAACGAACAGAGTGAACAACCGCGTCTCCCCTCCCCCGCCCTCCTCCAGCCCACACCCCCTTACTGCGCCCTCGGTCCCCGATCCCTCGGGACTTCAGGCGTGGGAGTTCCAGCCCCGTGCGGCTCCCTCCAGGTGCCCCGCACCCTCCTTCCTTCCTCGCCCGGACGGACGCACTTCCGGCGGATGTGGGTGGGGGCAACCCCGGAAACGGAAGTGAGCCGCGGGTCGGCTGACGGTAACGGGCTGAGAAGCTGTTCGCAGAGCGAGTTGAAGATGGTGAGTGAGACCCTGGGCGACCCGAGTGGCCTGCGGGCTCGGGTCCGTGGGCGCAGGAGCAGGCCGCCGCTCCCCAGCCCGTTCCCCGGTGGCGGCGGCGGCGGGAGGAGGAGGCCGGCCTCGGGCGCCATGATTTGTCGAGTCACGGGGTCCGGGGGTTCGTGGCCGCCGCCTGGGCAGGTCTCCGGCGCTGGTCCCGCGAGCGGCGCCTCGGCTTCATCCTTTCCCACCGCCTCCTCTCTCCCATCCCCAAGTCCCCCAGTCGGCCCCGACCCCGGTCCCTTCCCGTAGTTGGCGCCGAGCCGAAAAGGACACCCCCCAAAAGTGCAACGGTCTGGGGTGCGGTGCGGCCGACTACCCCTCCCCCGAGGGGAGGACCTTTGGGAGCCGAGTGCCCGACATCCTCACCCACCCCTGATCCTCGGAACTGCCTTGATAACAAACCCACAGCTGTGGGTCCGTTTTCCATCACTCAGCTTTACCCCACAAACATTTTTGGGAGCTCGTAGTATGGCAGGTGTTGGAGGGGGGAAAATTGGATAGTTGCTACTCCCCGTTTGTCAGTATTGTTATTGGGTCTCCTCCTGCCTCGTCCCTTTTCTCTTTTTAACTTAAAAGTTTGATGTTTGGGAGAGATTCTTGAATCGTCATTGCTCGCGACTCTGATACCACCAGTACTGCTGCTGGGCCATCCAAATCTAGAAAGTTTCTGTTGGTAAATACTGCTGAACATAGTAAAGAGGTTTAATAAACATTCTCAAGTAACTAGTGTTAATTAACTTTTCATAGATTTGTTTTCCTCTGCTACTTTATTAGAAATATCATGTACTGATTCTCATGTTTTACAGGAGGGAATTGGGAAAGTGATAACAGTAGGTCCCAGAGATCAGAATCCCCCTTTTCTTTGTGTGTAGAAGAAACTTTTCTTCCGTTACTCTACAATAAAGCAGTCTGGGAGGAGGAGAACCTTTATGTAGGAAAGCAACAGAAGGTGTTTTTGGAAAGGTACAATCATACAACTCTGGTCCTGGAAAGAGTTCAGGCAGCTGGAAGGATGAGTAAACAGGGCCAGAGAGGTTCTGTGCCTTCGTCAGGTTAGTGGCCTCCACACTAGATTTCAGCTTCTTTTCCTAATTAACTGTGACTTCTGTGTGGGAGAGTTGAAACCTGTTGTACAGCTTCTTGAGTTCCAGGCTTCGGACCTTGGACATTATTCAGGCAAGACATTGACAAACCAGTGAAAGGTTTTTGTTTTGTTTTTTTAACAGCTTTGGTGAGGAAAATTGCTTATCAGGCAAATCTTGCTGTGCAGAATTGGAAAATAGAACAGGCTAGAGGCAGTGCTGTCAGCATTATCCAGGTGTGAGAGCCTGGACTGGGGTGGTAGATTGAGGAAACCCGGGACACTGTGCAGTACCTGACCTAGTAAAATATACAAATAAAGTAAAACATCAATTTAAGAAGCTGGTTTCTCAGAATAGTTTCTCCTAGAAGAATATAACACTCCAAACTACCTGCAGCTGTTTTACGGTTTTCTGCAGAATTGCAGGGATGATGTATTTCAGCAACAAGTAACTTAAACTCAGCATCTTGTGTTTTAGCTATGGTAATATGTATTACATTTTAATTGCATGTTTACTCTATCTTCATTATATTAAGCCCTGGAAGACAGATATGTATCTTCAGTATCTAGTAGAGAACCTGCCACATAGTAGATATTTAATAAATATTTGGTGATTAAATTATAGTATAAATGAGTAGGGTGACCATACACTAGTAACAAATATACCGTGAGTCTTTGTTTTTATTTTTTTTTATTTATACCATCCTGATTAGGTACATTTATTTTTCATAGGTGGTACCCTCTTATGGGAACCAAATACTTTCTGAAATTCCCTTTCTTTCTTAGCTCCTGTGACTACTCTCTTCTAGCTGCTCTCTCTGTTCTTAATCCCATTTTCCTTGTTCTTCCTTGTCCATAAGGAATGGTATTCCCCAGGATTCTGCCCTCAACATTTTTCATTCTGTGCCGATCATTCTAACCTAAGGGGGGATCTTTCCAATAAAAGTAAATCTGATCATGCCATAACCCTTCAGAGGCTCTCTGTCTATTTCAGAATAAAACAAGTTTCTTTGCATATTGAAGCCTTTTCATTTTTTCTTTTGGCCAGCCTTTACTGCTCTACGCAGACATGTAGTTAGCTGGTCATCTCAAACGGCTTGTAGCTTGCTCATTTATATTTTTATACTTTTACCCATGTTCTTTCAATCTGGGTATTGAATGCCTTTCAATCTGACAGCACTCAGAGATCAACTCAGGAATCCTTCCTACCCCAAATTCGATTTTATTCACTGAACCATGTATATTCCTCTACCATAATGCTGAGGCTCGTGGTACTTGTCTAGACTGGGCCCTTTGAGGGCAAAGACCTTATCCTTTCTTTCCAGGGCTTAAACAGTGTTGTTTACATAGATGTTCAGTGTTTTTTTGAACTGTTTATATTTAATAGTGTTTTTCCTTTCTGTTGTAGAATGCCAGAGGACTTGGATCTCAGCTAAAGGACAGTATTCCAGTTACTGAACTTTCAGCAAGTGGACCTTTCGAAAGTCATGATCTTCTTCGAAAAGGGTATATGGGGGAATTGGGACTTTGACTTTGTTATGGTAAAATGTGAATTATTTCTCACAGTATTCTTTAAATATTTTGGTAGGCCATAAATGTATATTTAATTTAGGAGGTAGCAAGTAATACACTTTAGGAGAGGAGGGGGAGGGTAGGATTGGATGTGTTCTATAGTGGAAGAAGCATCTTATCAGAGTAGTAGGTTCCCAGGAAAGGGCATCTTCCTAGGAGATGTTACCCAGTAGCATGATTTGGTAGGATTCTTCTTTGTGCTGCTGATAACTTGGAGAGCCATTTGTCTCTTTATCTTATTAACTATTGGAGTAATTGACTGTTCTTTGGGAGACACTAGAACATAGCAGTAAAGAGCGTGGACTCTGGGTTTTGGTCCTGGCTCCGCCATTTACTAGATGTATGCCTGTGGGCAGGTTACTTAATTGTTCTACGTCTCAGTGTCCACACCTGTGAAATAAGGCTAGTAATAGCATATATGTTATTTTGAATGAGCTAACACATGGAAAGTACTTAGACCAGTACATGGCATTAGTAAGCACTGGGTAAACCTTAGATGCTCTTATTTTTCTTTTCTAGTTTCAGTACAGTTATGCCCCTTCCCTCGATTTTCTATATTTTTCTATGTGTTTAGGTCTGAATTTCTAGTACTGGTCCTTTTCCTTGGCAGATTGTTTTTCTGCTTAATCAAATAAGGATAATGCTTTCCTCCCCACTTTGTATGTACTGTGTTTTGAATTTTTGAATTTTGTATCTAATATTAAGGTGTTTACTCTTACTGTCTTAGAATATCATTCTAATATTGGTCTCTGGGAGCAGACATAATACCTCACTATTGTCTTTTCATTCCGTAGTAAAAGATGCACTATATTGCCTTTGGAATTGGCAGTAGTATAGTATAATCAGATTTATAAGCTAGCCAGTAACCAATCCGGGTGATTCGTTTCTGTGTTTTTTGTTTTCACATGAAATGCTTCTCTTCCTTCCCAGTTAGACTGGGAAGATTGCCATGAGCAGAGCCATTATCAAATTCCACTTTGCAGATAATGTTCTGTACAAAGATAGTATTCAGTAAACGATTGTTGCAGGATTTCTAAGGTTTCCTTCAGCTCTCAGATCCTGGTTTGGACAATAACATAGTCATCTTTATATATCTAGGGTGATAAAGACCCGCGGCCTGGTTCTAGCTGTATATCACCTAATATGGTACTTTATACATGGTAGGTGTTTGGTAAATGTCAAACAGTTCGTTTAACATGTGTTTACCAAAAATATATTAACTATTGAATATGCATTAGATCTGAACAAAAGAGGCTTAGATATTTTATATAATACAAGAATCATGTCAGCAGAGTCATAGTATTAAACATACTTTTTATTAAATTTCTTCTAGATACAGGGCATCATTGAGTACCATTTTTGGGGGTGGTTCTCCCCAGTGAATTGAAGTCTTGACCACCAGTATCTATAATAGATCCATTTCAAACAATATTCAGTAAATTTGACTTCTTGTCTTCCTTTTGGTGTATAGTTCTATGAATTTTAAAACATGTGTTAATTCCCAGAACCATCACCACCACACTTAGGATACAGAACAGTTTACTCATCCCCCCAAAACTCCCTTGTGCCATTTATTTATACTACAACAGTGATAGATGTGATTTTGAGTTCTAGGTATTCAGTAATATATAACCTTCCATCTTAAATGTTTATTTTCAGTTTTTCTTATGTGAAAAATGAACTTTTGCCCAGTCATCCTCTTGAATTATCAGAAAAAAATGTAAGTATGTTACCTGTGTTTTTATTTTTATCCTTTAGTAGAAAAATATTTTTAATAATACTTGATTAAGACACTTCTGGTGTTGAGCATTTAACCATGAAAAACTTGAGGCCTTGTTTTTGATATCTTAATCTTTGAGTTATCATTGTATTGCTTCACTAAAGCTCCCTTTCTACACATTCTTCTTTGTCTTTTTTATAGACATTTCTAGAGGTTAGTCCACCTTTCCATTCCTTTCATATGTTCTCCTTTGATGATCCCATTTTCTTTTACGTTTTTCCCCTGCCATTTTTGCTGTTGGTCTTCCCTAGCCTATATCTCTAGCCTTGACCTCTTTTTCAAGCCCTGCATCTCCAGGTTACTGCTGGGCACAGTAGGTGCAGAGGTGAATATGACATAGTCCCCATCCTTAAGGGGCTGAAATTTTAATGGGAGGATAAGCAGTGGATAGGGGCTTCATAAAGTGTTGTAGAGGACCAGGGATGGAGCAAGCATCTGTGGAAAGCTTTCTAGAAGAGGGCATTTGAACAGTTTTAGAACAGTATTAACCAGATAAATAGGTGGGGAAAGGTTATTCCCCAGAGGGTATAGCTTGTACAGATGTCCTAAAGACAACCTAAAGGGTTTTTAAATAACACATTCAGAGCAAGAGCAAGGAGGTGTCTTACTGCTTGGGAATGATGGTGCAGTGTTACCCAGTTAACAGGAAGCTGACCTATTCAGTTTTTTTTGTTTTGTTTTGTTTCCTCCCTCTTCAGCAAGGGGAAAGATTTTTCCTTAAGAAATAGTAGAACAAATAATTTGATGATGAAATTGAAGTTCAAATTAGACGAGAAAATAAAGGGGCCCCTGGCTGCTTTAGCTGCATTCTGGTTTCATGCTCAGAAGATGAGAAGGTTGTTTTTCAGAGATTTCAGATTAGCCATAGAAAACATATAAATCAGGTTTATGGAAGAAAAAGCTGACACGGATAGCTCGTTTTGATGAATAAGTGAACTACATCATAGATGACCCAATAGACCAAAAGACTAGGCCAGAACTTCAAGAAAAACAAAGAGGTCAATGTGAAGTTCTGACTCTTTTTTTTTTTTTTTTTGCGCTACCCGGGCGTCTCACTGTTGTGGCCTCTCCCGTTGCGGAGCACAGGCTCCAGACGCGCAGGCTCAGCGGCCATGGCTCACGGGCCCAGCCGCTCCGCGGCATGTGGGATCCTCCTGGACCGGGGCACGAACCCGCGTCCCCTGCATCGGCAGGCGGACTCCCGACCACTGCGCCGCCAGGGAAGCCCTGACTCGTTTTTTAGAAGTAGTATCAGTGCTTAGTAAGAGTATGATTCCAGAGTAAAATTGCTTATTAGTACCCAACACAAATTGGGTTTCTTTTTTCCCCCAGACTCAATTACTCAGAAAGGTGGAGTTTAAGGGTTGTAGTTTAATTAACAGGACCGTATAATGGGTCTGATTATTTCTTTTATGAAATCCTTTGAAGTAGATGCTTTCATACTTAGAAATTTCTTACTAATTATTGTCCCTGTATAAAACTTTCTGGATCTGAGGTTATTTACACCTTTTCTTTGCTCTACCAGTTTTGCAGTAATTCTAATCAAAAGCATTGAAATATGATTATGCTTTGTAAATACACTTTTGCAATGTGAAAAACATTCCCTTAATGTATTAGTTCTGTAAATCTAAATTTTAGGTGGTAATTTTACACCAGTGAAGGACACCTGCATGCCAGGTAAAATATAGACATACATATTCTAAAATTTGTCGAAGAAATTAGTAAAAATACTTCGTTTTTATTTCAGTTACGGATATTGAAATCTTTCTTCAAAGTATTGTGTCACATGCGTATCAGTGCTAACTGTTTTGAAAGCAGAATGTTGAGTAACATTTAAAATTACATTGTTGTCTTTGTAGTTCCAGCTCAACCAAGATAAAATGAACTTTTCCACACTGAGAAACATCCAGGGTCTATTTGCTCCATTAAAACTACAAATGGAATTCAAGGCAGTGCAGCAGGTGGGTTTATGAATGTCAGTTTGTATGCATCCCACCTGTGTGTTGATATCAATTGGAAGGAGCCTTCTATTTTAATAACAGCTGTACAAACCTTACCTTCTCTTCTGCCCTACAACCTATCCTACTTTCCCCCTTTTAGGATATGACCTTGATTTCTACTTCATAGAGAAAAGAAGCTTTGAAATGGAAAACTCCTTTAAATTATAGGCTCACTGTCTGAAAACTTACCTGTGTTCATTTTTCATGTTTTTCTCCTTTGGGGGGTTACACTGAATCTGAGATGCCTCTAGGAATATCCAGGTGGAGGTATCTAATAGGCAGGTTGTATATTGCTGAGTATACCTGTTGCTTAGGAAGAAGATCTTTGGAAATGTCCTTCCAAGTGTGTAAGAACTGTCCCCCCATCTGTGCTCTGGATTCTGTCACATCACACTACATTGATTCCAGTGATTGCTGGACAACTAACAAAGAACAGAAAAACTGAAAATTTGGTTTGGCTACATTAAAGTTTGTTGGGTACAAACTATGTGCCAGTGACTATATATGTATACTTTACACTGCACCATGCTACAGGTTTGAGAGGAAGGTGCTATTATCCTAGTTCACAGATGGAAACAGGGTGAGACAAGTCAGGTAACTTAGGCAAAGCCTAAGTAAGTAATAAAAGCAGAATTTGAATCCAGATCCCTCTGACTGTACAGCCCATGCTTTCTCCACTGTACTTAGATACTAGTCTGCAGTATATGTATTTAATAATTGAAAAAAGTATATAACACTAGTTCACAATGGCATTGTGGTTTTTAAAGGCCCACAGGTGACTTTGATCTTCATTTCTAGTTACCACTACTGTTTTTTTTTTTTTAATTAATTATTAGTTTATTTTTTGCTGCGTTGGTCTTCGTTGCTGCATGGGCTTTCTCTAGTTGTGGTGAGTGGGGGCTATTCTTCGTTGCGATGCATGGGCTTCTCATTGCGGTGGCTTCTCTTGTTGCGGAACATGGGCTCTAGGCATGCTGCCTTCAGCAGTTGTGACACGCAGGCTCAGTAGTTGTAGTTCGTGGGCTCTAGAGCGCAGGCTCAGTAGTTGTGGCACATGGGCTTAGTTGCTCCGCGGCATGTGGGATCTTCCCAGACCAGGGATCAAACCCGTGTCCCCTGCATTGGCAGGCAGATTCTTAACCACTGTGCCACCAGGGAAGTCCCTATCGGTACTGTTTTAAAGGGTCATAACTTACACATTTGTGTGAGCAATACAGAACAACATAAAAAATGAATAATTGGTTTACTAAATAGAATACTGCTCTCGCTGAGATGGAATTTCTTCAGGAATTTGATCATCCCACGTTTATTGGGAACAAAGAGTGGTGTTGGGCTCTAGGATTTTGCATTTCATCACATGGTGTGTGCTTTGGTTTCCTGGACAGAAGCGAAGCCCTCGAACATGAGCAAGCCTGATGGGATTATTAAGTGTCAGTGAGAAGCTCTCAGTTTCAGTGTATATATTTTGTGTAAAGTGTTGAGGAATTTTTAAAATTTTGGTTTGGGTCTCAAATGTGACCTTGGATGTTAAATTGATTAACCCACATTGGTTAAATTGATATCTTACTTAGTTTTGTGAATTTTACAAGTAAAGAATGAAGAATGAAATTTGGTCATGTATATTTTTTCCCCTTGGTTTTTTCTAATTTTGCCTTTTTATACTTTTCCTGAAGGTTCAGCGTCTTCCATTTCTTCCAAGCTCAAACCTTTCATTGGATATTTTGAGGGGTAATGATGAGACTATTGGATTTGAAGATATTCTTAATGGTAAGTGTCATTCCATACCTTTTTGTAGAGCTCCAGTAATGTACAAGACAACAGCAGCAGATGAAACCCCCAGCGTCTTTGTCCTCGTGGAGTTTATAGCTGATTGAATTCATTTGTGTTTATTCAGTGAAATAAGATAAAATTTAATGGTAATAACTGTTTAACTGGTTTTAAAAGTGAAAATTATTTATGGAGTTCTGAGATTATAGTCATTTCAGTCAATTAATGACAGTCATTCCTTTCATATCCTGAGGATAAAGTCTGATGTGTGAGTCCAGTACAATATTCTTAGGGTAGCTTAAACAAGGATTGTTGTTGCACTATTCAGAATGTTTGTGGGATGTGACTAGTTTTAAAAACAACTAGAAAAAATAAGGTCAAAGTTTTCTTTAAAAAATACCCACCCTTTCCTCCTATGTAATTGTTGTGTTTCTATAGATGGTGAATAGCAAAGAAGAATCTGTCATTTTTAACAAAATTCTCTGGATGATTATATTATGTACGACATAAATGGCTTTTAAGTAAGAGCAATACATGCAGCGTCCTTTATTTTTTTCTGGTTCTGAGGAAGGTAAACAAATATAATTCTGTCCAGTATTACTTCTGTTCATTATGCCTCAGCAGTTTAGGAGAAACAGAAAAACCCAACAGGATTAAATTATATTACTTTTGCTTGGCTGCTAATGTCCGGTAACGAGATGCTGTGGATGCAGCAGAAATCTCATGAGACTCCTCTTTGAGAATCTTCCCTGAGGGAACTTTTTGAATGCAGGAAAACCTGGAATTCCTAAGCTTTTACATTGAATTTAGACCTCATTTAAAATTAGTAAGGTGATAGCTCAGGTTTATAATTATCTTTTAGTTATAAAAATGCACTCATTTAAAAATCAGCCTCTGTAAAGTCACGTGAAAAAAAGGGAGAGGGACTTACTGAGCATTTATTCAGTCAGTAAAATAATTGTTATATGTCAGACAGTGGGCTAGGCTTTGAATATACGACGGTGAAAAAAACAAAACATCTGTGCTTCCTAATGGGGGAGGTAAACATTAACAGTTAAAACACAAACATGTAGTTATAAACAGTGATTAAATTCTAAGAATAAAGAGGGTAGGTATATAGTTTGTTGTTGGGTAGGAGGGCCAGGCATCTCTGGGAATATGACATATAAATTGATTCCTGAAAGATACATGAATTAGTTGAGCTAAAAGTAGAGGGAAGAATATTTCAGACAGAAGAAGCTGTATGTCTAGGGTCTCTAACCTGAGAACAGCCGAAGAGCTCTGAAGGGTTTATTCCACTTAAGAGCTAGCAAGTTAGCCCTCTGTGGTTTCACGGATGCTGGCAGAGACAGACTCCTCGAGACAAAGGGCAGTTTGTTATTCACGGCAGTAGCAGAAGCCAGAGCATCAGCTTTTCTGTTGGGTCCCTAAGCCCCAGTTCCCACAGGGCAGCAAGAAGAGGGTTAGATGAAACCTGCATATAGAGTGTATTTTGTTACAGTAAGGGGAACCCCAAGTTCAGGGCACCTGAATCTTATAATGGGCAGTCAGCCTGCCTATTCTGTGCCCCAAGGGCAACATGATCTCTCTTTAGAAACAGCCTTGGAAAGAGAGTCCAGAACAAAGGCAGACAGTGCCTCTGCTTCCAAGACTTGTGGAATCAAGAAAGGCTCCTAGAGAATTGTCTCTCAACACACATAAGAACATGTTAAGAAGGCCCATGTAGCTGGAGTGTTTTGAGGGAAGTGGAAAGTAGAATAAGGTGAGGTTGAAAAGCCAGGCAGGTACAGAGGAGCCAGAGCCTTGCAGACCATAAAAAGTTTATTCAGAATGCAACAGAAAGCCACTGAGTGATTTTTTTTTTCTTTTGACATCTGAAGACTGTAACTTTATTTTATTTTTTTCTTCAGCTCTTTTATTTTCTTTCAATTTATAATCTTTTTTTTAATTTTATTTTTTCAAACAGCAGGTTCTTATTAGTTATCTATTTTATGCATATTAGTGTATATGTGTCAATCGCAGTCTCCCAATTCATCCCACCACCACCACCCCTGCCCCCCTTCTGACGTTCCCCCCTTGGTGTCCATACCCATTGAGTGATTTTAAGCCGTGACATGTGATAGAATTTCAGATTTAAAAAGATCACTAGCGGGGGCTTCCCTGGTGGTGCAGTGGTTGCGAGTCTGCCTGCTGATGCAGGGGACACGGGTTCGTACCCCGGTCCGGGAAGATCCCACATGCCGCAGAGCGGCTAGGCCCGCGAGCCATGGCCGCTGAGCCTGCGCGTCCGGAGCCTGTGCTCCGCAACAGGAGAGGCAAAAAAAGTGGGGGCCCGGGGAACACAAAAAAAAAAAAAAAAAAAAAGATCACTAGCTCTCTTATGGACATCTTTATATATTCATTCCTTGCATCTCTGTAAGGCAGCTAAGAACTAGAAAGATCCTCTGTTTAGGTAGGTGATTTTTGTCAGGATGAGATCACTGCACTGCACTTTGGGTAGTTTCCCCCTTGTGGGGACTGTAACTGTATAATTTATGGACAGTTTTTGGCTTCACCTTAGGGCCTTGCCTTAGCTGTTCCTTCTGCTTAGAATACTTCCCCCCTCACTTTTCAGATCCCAGTTTAAATGTCACTCCTTCAGAGACTACCCAGTCTAAAGTAGTCCCAGTCACCCTGTCACCTCATTTTCATTCTTTGCTTATCACTTTTTCAGTATTTTTCTTGTTTCTTATTTGTTTTCCCCAACTTAAATACAGGCCTCACGAGAGCTGGGGACTTTGTCTTATTAACTCTTGTGTCTCCAGTGCCTCATAAGGTGCTTAATCCATGATGAGTGTTGAAAGCTGTTGCTCACCACATTCTCCTCATCACATTTGACCCAGAAGGAATTTTAAAGTCTGTAATGAGGGAGTAGTGTGTTAATCTAAGCGTGATATGAAGACTAGTCAACTGTGATGAAAATCTGTATAATTCTCCAATTTACATTTTTTAAAGTGTTGGAGGTGATCAGGGTTTTGTTTGCTTGCTCATCGGGGAAGCGCTTGGCCAAGAAAAATCTGCACATTATATTTTAAGGAAGGGAAGAGAATGTGAGGAAGGCAGTGAGAAAGTCACAACTAGCCTTTTTCTTAATGCTGAAAGCGGCCTTCCGTTTACTCTAGTTCTGTCACTTTGAGATGAGGGAACTGAGACTGACCAAGAGGCCGGGTCCTGCCTGGGAGTCTCACAGGCCAGGGCCTTGCTTACATGGTGTGCTGTCTTCTGGTGCAAGTGATTTATTTAATAAGCATGTATTTTATTAAAGTCAAAAGCTTTAAAAAGCAGAGTTTAAAAGGAAAGTTGTTATTATATAAATAAGGATATTCTTTGTTTAAAAATTGAAAACATTACAGCTGAGACTCAAGTCCTCCATGTTTAGCCCAAACCCATTTCTCTCCCTGCTTCCCTGTGTGCCTGCTGCGTGCTGCTTCTAGTTAGTGTATGTCCTTCCAGACTTTTTTCTGTGTCTTCATACAAATATATGTAATCAGAAAATATCTGGCGTTGCTTTGTGTATATATATTTTTTATCACAATTGGTATCATACTGTGTGTATCTTACGGTAGTAGGTATGCTGCATCAATACATGTATTGAGTTTTCTCTCTCATTAACACAAAACAGCGCTGCAGCAAACATCTTTGTTCTTTGTACTCGTGTGCGGACATACTTTTTCTTAATTTGGGTTTTGGATGCCTGTTGTATACATAGCCATTTACTCTATTAATAATTGTAATAGTATCAGTTGTTGCTAAGGTTACTTTGTTGTGTGACAGATGTCAAGAGTAGAGATTGCTGAACTAATGTGACACAGTAATCTCCAGTCTCTTAGGAGATCCAGTGAGGAAACATCCAAATTGATCTGTTACTCTTGGTAATCATTATTTTAATGATTATTTATTTTTACAAACTGATTTTACAGTTTATTTCGTTGGGTATTTATTCTGTTTCTTGTCCTGTGTGGAGGAGAAGAGGCTTTGTTTGTTTGTAGGAACCTTAATGTTGTTATTCATTTTAAAAACTCTTAGGTGCATTATTGCAGTTAAAGTAAGACTTTTGTCTGACTCGTCAATACAGACAAGAGAGTGAAGGTTTTTAAGGTTTTCTTGCTCTAGACTTCTGGTTTGTGTATATATGTATTTGCAACAGAGCACAGAGTGATAGAAATAAAATGGGTTTTGCAAGTTAGATTACGGATTGTTTAATCTCTTATTAGAGATCGTTCCTAGAGTCAACTGGAAAGCACTGGAAAACTTAAGAACTTTGAAAAAGAACTTATTCAATCTATATTTTCTTTTACGATCACCTGAATTGAGGTATACTTGACATACAGTAGAATGCACCCATTTTAAGTGTCCAGTTCTTTAATATGTTTGTTTTTGTTTGTTTTCAGACCCGTCACAAAGTGAACTAATGGGAGAACCACATTTGATGGTTGAATATAAACTCGGTTTACTGTAATGCAGTGTGCTGTTCATGGAAATAGAGGGGCTGCATCTTGTTTATAGTCGTTTTTTACTATAATTTGACATGCACAACATTAAAATTACTGACACATGAGAATTTTTGCCTAAATAGTATCTGTGATCATTTGAAGTTCTTTGGGTCTTTGGTTTATGTGATAATTAAAGGCACTAAAGGGAGATGGTTTAAAAACTTCTAATTTATATTAAAACAATAGCCTTCTATGTCTTTAAAAAAATGTTGCTAATTAATATCATAAAACTATGCACAGGTTCCAATTCAGCCTGTTTCCTAGTTATTTCATAAATTTAATTTTGAATAATCATTGGTATTTGAGCCTGCAAACTTCATAGTAGCATCTTTCAGAATACACATCTGTTCAGTGGCAGCATTTCAAAGTAAGTACAAGATAAGACTATTATATTTTACCTTGTTTCAGTATAGTCCATTAATACTCATAAGAATAACACTTGCTTTATTGATGCTACTTTAGAATTATAACTACATTCTTTGATTCTTTCAGGTTGAAAAGTATAAGTTCAGAGGTTTTGATTTTGGTCTTGTCTTTAAAGTGAAAAATTAATCAGCAGATGTCAATTAAACTGTAGTACTGCATAGATTAGTATATCATAAGATGCTTAAATTTAAAAAGGAAAAAAGAACATTCATGTACACATACAACTGTTCATGAACAAATTCAATAATAGTTTATTTAAAAGTAAATCTTCCCTATGGTTGTTCTTTGTTAATAAGGTATTTTTTTATGGACCTAGTATACAAAATTAAAGATTATCAATTTCTCAGGAGTATTTTTATTGTCTAAGTCACTGATTTATGACTGAAGGCAATGTTTTCTCTCCCCACTGGGAGTGGGGGGGGTCATTTAACAGTGTCTAGAGAAATTTCTGGTTGTCACAACTTTGGGGAGGGTTTCCAACTGGCATCTAGTGCAAGGAGGCTAGGGATGCTGCTAAACATCCTACTATAAAAATTGCTCCTGACCGTTGAGATTGAGCTTAAAACTGTCTTTGCCAACACAGTATTTGCCAACCCACTGTACACTTAAATTATGAGAAAATATAGAAATAATGAAGGTTCACTAATTGATTGTTTCTAAATGTGTTCTCTTTCAACTAATTAACAAGGTTGGATATTTCTGTACCTTAATTAGTTTTAGGAATAGTAGATACTCTTCCTGACCAGTAGAAGGTACTATGAATTAATGAACATAGTTTAAATGGAAAAGCTGATGCTTTAAACACAGAAATTGGTAATCATGATTAGTGCTTATTCTCTGAAGGTCTTCATGCTTCCCCCTCTCTCCTTTTCCTCTTTTACCTCCTTTGTGTTTACACCCATGATCCTTATCCCTGGGTGCGTGTAAAATCACCTGGAAATCTTGTGAAAGAATCTTGGTGTCAGGGTCTGAATCTCAGAAGTTCCAGAAGGACGAGTCTGGGGTGGATCCCAGGAAGTCTACTTTTGAAAAGCTCTCCAGGGATGAGAACCTTTGATTTGTATGCTTGCTTTCGCCTTTATAGTAATATTTATTAGCATCAGTTAATTCTTCCCGTGTACCTCGGTGCTGGAACGTTTGCTAGTAGTCTCTGCAAACTGCAGTGTGTGCCTGGAGTTGGGATGATTTGGGTTCCTTCATAAGAGTAAATTTCAGGTTCCTCTGAGATACTTTGCCTAGGTGCCAGACTCTTCAGTTAGGCATTTTTTCTTTCAGATGCTGTGGGGTTTGTTTTAAGGAATTAGTTTAGTATTTTGGGGGTTTAAGAGATACTTCACAGGTTGGTGCCTGATTACAATTAATTTTACTAACACTAAAATGATAAAATTCACAATAAAAGATATAAACATAATTAATGGACTGTAATGTAGTTCTGTGTTACTTTTTTTTAATATATATGTGAATAAAGGAATTTGTGGGTTTTATTGTCTCAAAGCGGGTGGGTTTGCAAATAACTGAGCACTGTTTGGCACATCATGGAATGGCTCTTTCACTAGACACGTCTCTTCACTCCTACCCTCTGTACAAAATATAAATGATAGGCTTATTATTTTTTTATTAATTTTTCTTTTTGCAGTGGGTTTTATCCCTCTTTCAGGAGTACACATAAGTACAACCCAGTGCTTTCCTGCATTTTGTTACTCCTTTGAATGCAGACATTTCAAGAGTGTAGAAAATTGTCTGAACAGGTAGATTACTTTTGAAAAGCTGAAAGACTGTATAGTGTATAATCTTCCACTGGAGTCTACAATTGGATGAATCTAAGTTTAACCAAATTTTGACTTGATATTTCAATAAAGCAAAACCAAAAATGTGATACTTCATTGAACGTATTTAGCTCATGATTTCAAAGTTGAAATTCAGGTTCCTTCAAGTACAACAAATCCTTAATTAAGAGCCCATACCGGGCTTCCCTGGTGGCGCAGTGGTTGAGAGTCCGCCTGCTGAGGCAGGGGACACGGGTTCGTGCACCGGTCCGGGAAGATCCCACATGCCGTAGAGCAGCTGGGCCCGTGAGCCATGGCCGCTGAGCCTGCGCTCCGCAACGGAAGAGGCCACAACAGTGAGAGGCCCGTGTACCGCAAAAAAAAAAAGAGCCCATACCTTGGTGGGGGCAGTGGCCAAGATGGCAGAGTAGAAAGTCCCTGAACTCACCTCCTCCCATGGGCATGCCCAAATGACAACTGTTTAACAGCACACAGCTGCCTATGGAAACAACCTGAAGACTAACAGAAAAGATTTTCCACCATTAAAAACATAAAGAAGGGGCTTCCCTGGTGGCGCAGTGGTTGAGAGTCTGCCTGCCGATGCAGGGGACACGGGTTCGTGCCCCGGTCCGGGAAGATCCCACATGCTGAGGAGCGGCTGGGCCCGTGAGCCGTGGCCGCTGACCCTGCGCGTCCAGAGCCTGTGCTCCGCGACGGGAGAGGCCACAGCGGTGAGAGGCCCGCGTACCGGAAAAAAAAAAACCATAAAGAAGGAAGCACGAGTCAGGTAGGAAGGACAGAGATACAGTATATCAGGACCCACACCCACAGGTTGGTGAGGAAGTGGGAGGAATATCACAATTATAGAGATCCTCCCCAAGGAGCAAGGGGTTTGAGCCCATTGGACTCCCCAGCCTGGGGGGTCCTCCACCAGGAAAATGAGCCCCCAGAACATCTGGCTTTGAAAACCAGTGGGGCTTATGTTCAGAAGAGCCAGAGGGCTACAGGAAACAGACTTCTCTCTAGGGTAAATGCGATCTGACTCCCAGTGTAGACGTTAATTTGAAAGGACAGAGGGTCAGACCTGCTTGCTGATCTTGGATCCAGGGAGGCAGGAGGCACCTGGGACTCCCCCTGGGGAGAGATGCTGGCAGCATCCATTTTGGGGAACTTGTTCTACCACAATAACACCAGCATTGTGAAGCACCATTTTGGAATTCTCATGTCCTGTTAGCGCCAGGGACCTGGTCCCACCTATCAGTGGGCCAGCAGCAGCCCTGTGCCCCCCTGGGTCAAACACCCAACCACGTGGGAAGCCTACCCTGCCCTCCGGCAAGTACAAGCCAATGCACACGGCACAACCTCGCAACCAAATGGGCCAGGGTCCAGCCCCACTGCCAGCGCACCCACAGTAGTCAGTTTTGCCACAAGAGAAGGGCACACACAGCCTCCCTAGAGCATAAAGCTCTGGTGACCAGAGAGAAGCATGCTGCTGGACCCCGTAGAACATCTCCAACATAGGAACACTTCTCCAAGATTAGGAAAGTGGCTGACCTATGTAACATATAGAAATAAATTTGCCCGAGAATTGGGCAAAATGAGGAGACAGAGGAATATGTTCCAAGAGAAGGAATAAGAACCTCAGGAAAAGAACTAAATGAAGTGGAGATAAACAACCTCCCTGATACAAAGTTCAAGGTAATGATCTTAAAGATACTCAACAAACTGGAGAGAAGAATGATTAACGTAGTGAGACTTTCAACCAAGAGTTAGAAAATATAAAAAAGAACCAAACAGAGCTGAAGAATACAATAACAAAAAATACACCAGCAGGAATCAACAGTAGCTTAGATGATACAGAGGAATGGATCAGTGATCTGGAAGGCAGAGTAGTGGAAATCACCTAAGCTGAACAGAAAAAAGTTTTAGAAAATGATGATAGTTTTAAAGAGACCTCTGAGACAATATCAAGCATACTAACATTTGCATTACAAGAGTACCAGAAGGAGAAGAGAGAAACAGGCAGAGAACTTATTTGAAGAAATAATAGATGAAAACCTTCCTAATCTGGGGAAGGAAACAGACATCCAGGTCCAGGGAGCACAGAGAGTCCTAAACAAGATGAACCCATAGAGGTTCACACCAAGACATATTATAATTAAAGTGGCAAAAAAAAAAAAAAAAAAATCTTAAAAGCAGCAAGAGAAAAGCAACGAGTTACATACAAGGAAACTCCCATAAGGCTGTCAGCTGACTCTGTAGCAGAAACTTTGCAGGCCAGAAGGGAGTGACACAATATATTCAAAGTGATGAAAGGAAAAAACTTAACAACCAAGAATATTCCACCTGGCAAGGTTATCATTCAGAATTGAAAGAGAGATAAAGAGTTTTACAGACAAGCAAACGCTAAAGAGTTTGGTGTCACTAAACTAGCTTTACAAGAAAATGTTAAAGGGACTTCTCTAAGCAGAAAAGAAAAATCCACAACTAGAAAATGAAAATTATGAAAGGAAAATCTCACTGGTAAATGCAAACATACAGTAAAGGTAGTAGATCAGCCACTTATATAGCTAAGAGGAAGGTTAAAAGACAAAGGTAGTAAAATCACTTACATCCACAATAAGTAAAGGTTACAGAAAAAGATGTAAAATATGACACCAAAAACATTAAACATGGGGTGGGGAGTAAAAATGTAGGTTAGTAATGCATTCGAACTTAAGAGAGAAAATAATCATATACATGTTGTTATATATGTCTCATGGTAACCAAAACCCTAAAATCTATAATACACACACCCACACACACCAAAAAAAAAAAAAATTCAAACATAACACTACAGATAGTCATCACATTACAAGGGAAGAGAGCAAAAGAAGAAAGGAACAAAAAAGAACTACAAAAGCGACCAGAAAACAACAAAATGGCAGTAGGTACATATCTATCAATAATTACTTTAAATGTAAACATAGGAAATTCTCCAATCAGAAGACAGAGTGGCCAAATAAAAAAAACAAGACCCATATATATGCTGCCTACAAGAGATACAGACTAAAAGTGGGGAATGGGAAAAGGTGCAAATGAAATCTGTGGTGGAATGCTTATATCAGACAAAATAGACTTTCAAACAGACTGTAACATGAGACAAAGGACTTTACCTAGTGATCAAGGGATCAATCCAACAAGAAGTTATAACAATTGTAAATATATAGGCACCCAAAATAGGAGCACCTAAATACATAAAGCAAATATTAACAAACATAAAGGGAGAAATTGACAGTAACACAATAGTAGGGGACTGCATTTACATCATTGGACAGATCATGCAGAAAAGAAACATCAGCCTTAAACAATACCTTAGACCAGATGAACTTAACATGTATACATATATGAAACATCCAATCCAAAAACTACAGAATACAAATTCTTTTGAAGCATAATATACATGGAACATTCTCTAGAATAGGTCAAATGCTAGACCACAAAACAAATCTTAATACATTTAAGGAGATTAAAATCATATCAAGCAACTTTCCTAACCACAACAGGATGAGACTAGAAATCAACTACAAGGGAAAAAAAAAAAAAGAAACCTACAAAAACACAAACGTGGAGGCTAAACAATATGCTACTAAACAACCAATGGCTCACTAAAGAAGTCAAAGGTGGAATAAAAAAAAGATAATCTGGAGACAAATGAAAATGGAAACAACTAGCCAAAATCTATGGGATGCAGCAAAAGCAGTTCTAAGAAGGAAGTTTATAGCAATACAAGTCTGCCTCAGCAAAGCAGAAAAATCTCAATCTAACCAAACCCAAAGTTAGTAGAAGGAAAGAAATCAAAGAGCAGAGTGAAATAAATGAAATGGAGACAAAAAACAAACAGTAGAAAAGATCAGTGAAGCTAAGAGTTAGTTCTTTGAAGAGATAAACAAAATTGTTAAACTTTTAACCAGGCTTATCAAGGAAGAAGAGAGGGGACCCAAATAAATAGTCAGAAAAAAAGAAGAAAAAAAATAAAGCTTTTGCACAGCAAACTATCAACAAAATGAGAAGGCCGCCTACTGAATGGGAGAAGATATTTGCAAGTGATGTATCCGATAAGGGGCTAACATCCAAAATATACAAAGAACTCATACAACTCAACATCCAAAAAACAACCCAATTAAAAATGGGCAGAGGGGCTTCCCTGGTGGCACAGTGGTTAAGAATCTGCCTGCCAGTGCTGGGGACATGGGTTCCATCCCTGGTCCGGGAAGATCCCACAATACTGCAGAGCAACTAAGCCCGTGCACCGCGACTACTGAGCCTGCGCTCTAGGGCCCGCGTGCTGCAACTACTGAAGCCCGAGTGCCTACAGCCCATGCTCCGCAACAAGAGAAGCCATTGCATTGAGAAGCCCGAGCACCACAACGAAGAGTAGCCCCCGCTCGCTGCAACTAGAGAAAGCCCGCGCACAGCAAAGACCCAAATGCAGCGAAAAATAAATAAATAAAATTTAAACAGAAAAAAAAAGGGCAGAGGATCTGAATAGACATTTTTCTAAGGAAGACGTACAGATGGCCAACAGACACAAGAAAAGATGCTTGACATCACGGATTATCAGGGAAATACTAATCAGAACCACAATGAGATAACACCTCACATC